CGTACATACCGGGTCGCAGGGCAGCCGGCCCCCTGGTGCGACCCCGGTATGTACGCCACTGTCTAAAGATGTCCTTTTCAGGACGAATGTGCTTTCAGCGGCATCTAATACTTTACCCACATGAAGATTTTTTTGCAGCAGTTTCGTCTCCCTCGCTTCTTGCTTGGGGAATCCCCATTAGTGCTGCTGCTATTGTTGGTCAAGAAAACAGAAAATCCTTACCATACTTAAAAGAATTTTAATTTCTTGGCCATTCCCACAGCCGCATCAAGCCTTTTGGATTTTTAAGGGGGGCTTTATTAAATAAAGCTTAATTGCTTCCTGTTATGCGAGAGATGGAAATTAACTGATTAGTGATGCTGCTGTGGGAATAGCCAGGAAATCAAAAGCAGCTATGCATTACCATTCATAGACGTGTGCACAGGGCCTGTGAGTCCTGCAGGCACTGCTGCCCCCAAATGCCCTCCCCCTGAGAGCTGTTCCTGCAGGCACTCTGCCGCCCCCAAATGCCCTCCCCCCGAGAGCAAGAGGTAATGGACACCCCACCCCCACCCCCCCCGTTCGGGCACCTATCTCCATACAACAAGTGGCGAGGGAGCTGTGTGCGCTCTGCTCCCTCTCGCCGCGCGCCATTTGCTGATGCCGGGAGACGGAATATGACGTCATATTCCGGCTACAGCAGACAGCCGCGCGGCGAGAGGAAGCAGAGAACAAACGGCTCCCTCGCCGTTTGTTGTATGGAGATAGGCGCCCGACCCACTGGACCCCAGGGACAAGTCCACGCCAGCTCTCCAGGTAGGGAGGCTGGGTGGACAATTTTTAATAAAAAAATAATAATTTGTGAATGTGTGTGTGTGTATGTATGTGTGTGTCAGTGAGTGTGTGTGTGTGTGTCTGTAAGTGCGTGTGTGTCTGTAAGCATGTATGTGTGTGTTTGTGTGTCTGTGAGTGTATGTGTGTCTGTGAATGTATGTGTGTGTGTCTGTGAGTATATTTGTCTGTGAATATATGTGTGTGTGTGTCTGTGAATATATGTGTGTACGCGTATATATATACACACAAGTGTATATAATTTTTTTGGGGGGTGGGAATCTTGGGAGAGTTCACACACTTTATTCCCCAGGACTTGACCCCTGCCGGCAGGGGTGATCTCTGGATCTTCCCTGTCGGCTCATGCAGAGCTGGCACTATCTGAGTGCAAGATTTGCTCTAAGCTTCCATGGCCGGCGGGGAGATCAAAGATCTACCTCACCAGCCCATAGCAGCATGGAGGGAGGCAGGAGAGGACCCGGGGAGCTCTAGACAGAAGCTCCGCCAGGTTCCTCTCGCGAGATCTGAGCATTCCCGCAGGCTAGAGTTCACTCTCCCTTGGACAGCAAGGATCCTCCCTCCCTACATAAGGTAATCTGCCCCCACCTTCACAATCCCTCCAAACATACAGCACACACAAACACACACACAGCTCCTACACACATCCAGCACCCTAACACAAACAACGCGCACACACAGCACCCTCACATACACAGCACACTAACAACACCCTCACAAACACACACACAGCACCCTTACAAACACAAAACACCCTCACACATATCCCAGAAACAGCACCCTCACACACACAGCACATTAACAGGACCCAGGGCCGCCATCAGGGGGTGACAACCATAACGGTTGTCACGGGCCCGGCGGCCCTGGGGGGCCCGGCCGCCCGGGCCCCACATGTGGGGACCATCGGGTGGCCCACACACTTAGGGCCACCCGATGGGCCCTATATCTTCAGTGGCCCGGTCAGCGCTGTGGCCGCGACCATGCCCCTTTAAAAAAAAAAAAGCGAGGAGGGAGGAGCGCGCACGCCGGTGAAGAGGGAGAGCCAGGCAGTGAAGAGAGAGCCGCGCCGACTCCCATCATCCCCAGCCACCCCCCTGCAAAGAAAAGGTAAGAGACAGGAGGGTGGCTGGAAAATGAGCTGTGTGTGTCTGTATGCATGTCTGTCTGTCTGTATGTATGTCTATGTCTGTCTGTATGCATGTATGTCTGTCTGTAGGCATGCATGTATGTTTGTCTGTCTGTGTATGTATGTCTGTCTCTGTATGTATATCTGTCTGTATGTATGTATGTCTGTCTGTGTATGTATGTCTGTCTCTGTATGTATATCTGTCTGTATGTCTGTCTGTATGCATGCATGTCTGTGTGTATGTCTATGTATGTATGTATGTGTAGGTCTGTCTGAATGCATGTCTGTATGTATGTCTGTGTGTATGTCTATGTATGTCTATGTATGTATGTATGTATGTGTATGTCTGTCTGTAGGCATGCATGTATGTCTATGTATGTATGTATGTCTGTCTCTGTATGTATGTATGTCTGTCTCTGTATGTATATCTGTCTGTATGTATGTCTATGTATGTATGTCTGTGTGTCTGTATGTATGTCTGTGTGTATGTCTATGTTTGTCTGTCTGACTGTATGCATGCATGTATGTCTATGTATGTATGTATGTCTGTCTGTATGTATGTATGTGTATGTCTGTATGTATGTCTGTATGCATGCATGTATGTCTATGGATGTATGTATATCTGTCTGTATGTATGTCTATGTATATATATGTATGTCTGTATGTCATTATATATGTATGTCTGTATGTCAGTATGAATGTATGCCTGCATATCATTATGAACGTATGTCTGTGTGTATATGTGTATGGATGTCTGTATGCATGTATGTCTGTATATATGCATGTATGTCAGTCTAAATGTATGTATGTATGTCTGTATGCCATTATGAATGTATGTCTGTTTATGTCTGTATGCCATTATGAATGTTTATGTGTATGGATGACAGTGTCTGTATGTCTGTCAGTATGTCTCTGTGTGTGTATGTATGTATGTCGGTGTCTGTCTGTATGTATGTATGTATGTGTCTTTATGTCCTCATGCATGTGTGTCTGTATGTATGTTAGTATGTGTCTGTCTGTCACTATGTATGCCTGTGTGTATGTCTCAGTATGTATGCCTGTATGCGTGTATGTCTGTTTCAGTATGTGTGTCTGTTAGTATGTATCTCTGTCTTTTTGTATCAGTGTGTGTTTGTGTCTGTGTGTATATTCCTGTGGGTGGTATTTGAAGGCGGACCCAGTGGGCGGTATCTGGAGGCGGGCCCCAGGGGGCCCAGACCCTGAGCTGAGTTAGGGGCCCCAAAATTTCTGGTGGCGGCCCTGACAGGACCCAAACACACATACACAAACACCCTCACACACAGCACACTTCCAGCACCCTCACACACAAACCGCCCCCTCAAACACAGCACACTACCAGCACCCTCACCCACATAGCACACTACCAACACCCTCACACACACACACAGCACCCTCACACAGCGCACTAACAGCACACACACATACAAACAGCAGTATATGTATGTGTGTGTGTATATATACACACACACACACACACACACACACGCGGCATGTGTTTGTTCTTTAGGGTGCACACCCTAATGCAATAGGCTGTGCACGCCTATGTTACCGTTACTATATGGATACCCATCGTGTTAACAATGGATGTAAAAAGCTAGTTTAGAACACATTTGCGGCTTTTTGCCAACAATGTCAGATGCTTATCAGGAGGATTAATGTTGTTTATCACACAAATAAACTTGAACACTTCACGTACCACTAATAACTGTACTTTATGTGTGCTTGTTTTACAGGTTCCACTGGTGGTGTGCAATCTACGTTGAGTCAGTGGGTGTATGTTAGCGATACCCATGTACAGATGGTTTCAGAGTCCCGCGTGCTCAGTTCGCAAGCATACCTATTGTTTTATGAAAGATTGAATTAGATCTTAGATTTTTACACGCATTTTCAGACAGGTTTATTTTTCATAAAAGCTCTGCATATTGATATGTCATGTACAATGCAAAAATAAATTAATAAAATAAACATATTAGGCAAAATATCTGGTCACTTTGTGACCTTTACTCAAATCACAATGCTTTGCCAGGGTACTACTTAGCCATCTATACCTTCCAAAATGTGTTTTGACTCACTTTATTTACTAATCTATTTCCAAGAAAATGTCTTCACTATTACAATTCAACATGGGCTTCTATAAATTTTCTCTGTACGTTCATCCTTCCTTGTTTTCAGACTTCATCATTTATTTTGTGGAGGAAGTGGTGAGTTAACGGAGAAGGTATGCATTACAGACCATGGCAAAAACAGGACTTGATTGAGCTAGAAAACAATTGTCAATGGTATCAAGAAATACCTTTTTTTACAATCGGTAAGGAATACAACACAATCAACACAGGACACCGTTCAGGGGCCTGAAGTATCAATGAACAAGTTCAATTCAAACTGTAGTGCTACTGTTGAATACTTGAGACCCCCTCTAGATTCATAGGGATTATTGGGATTTGGCAACATTGAGAATTAAATAAAAATTACAGAAATAACAAAAAAAAACAATGGATTGAGATACCTCTGGGATCTGATATCATTTTATAGAAATAACAATTTAAAGTTAACAAATATTAAAATAAATTTGTATTTACCGTTTGTATTACACAGCCATGCTACACTGCTGCGGCCTTTCCCATGTCTTCCCTTGGGTTGAGAAGTATATAGGGGTTAAAAAAAAATAAAATACCCCTCTCTGTCTCATTAGAGATTTTCTTTTGCCTTAAGCTAAAGCAAGCAAGGTGAATTGTTAGTGTAGGACCCACCTAAGAGGTGTGCCTTGATGTGGCAAGTGGGCTTACATCTAATGGCCATTGGAGTGGAACTAAAAACCTCAATTTATATAATTATGCACGGGAATTTGGAATAGTGCTCAAGTAACCTTTTTTTTCTTTGATTTTTAAAATAAATTTGTTTCATATTTTAATGGTATATTATCAACATTATCATTATCATGTTTAACAAAGTGACTTCATTGGGACACACAATAAAGAATAGATATGCCCTGTTCTTTGACTTTCCTTTACACACTTGGAGGTAATGTCCACATATCAGGCTCATCATTAACCTGGTGACTCCTAAGTACCAGTAATACACTGGTATCGTGTGTTATTTTGTGCCTAGTTGCAGTTGAACTTACCTGTAGCTCAGCTTGTGAGTGTCTTACCTTGACAGTTCTTCTCTGAACTATGAATTCTGGTGAATTGACCAGGTAATTGCACACCTTAGGCCAAACTAGTTGAAATGGAAGCAATCTCAAACAATTTTTCAACTTGGTTATTTTGGTCTTTTGTTTGCACTTTTTCGCAATTCCAAGTCTAGTGCATAACCATGATAAAGGAAGGGAAAAGAGAATGAATAGGATATAAAAAAGTGATAATCATGGGATCAGTCAAAGAGAAAGTGAGGGAGCTTGACAGAAAATTGGCAGAAAACAAGGGACACACTGGAGAAATGTAACACCATTGCCATGGGTGGGAGAGGAGGGAGAAAACACCACAGGTGAGTGGAGGAGAGCGAGGAAGAGTCATAGCTGGTAGAGACCAACAGGCAGAGGAGGATAAGAACAAGGGTTCTAAAGGTTTTCTAAATGAAGAAAACAATGGAATAAAGGTCCTGGCAATTCAAACAACATATTGCATTTTCAGACATACTGGCTACCTATTTAGTGAATTTATTTTACTGCACCTGTATTTGTTTTGCTTTTAATAGACAGGAAACTATAATCAAAATTTTGGTATAAGTTTCACAACAGTATATGCTGGTTATTCCTATAAAGCAAATCTAAGGATTTAAAAATGAATTCCAAGATGTTCTGAACTCAATTATTATGGACAAATTAATTTTTTTTTGTTTCCTCACTAAACCGACTGTCATGATCTCTTTCCAATCCAATGCCTTTCACAGATAAATATTTGGGGCCTACTGAGCATATGTGGCAGCTGGTAGAAAAGTATTGGATCCTGTGATTTATTTGATGTGTTCATTGTTATTATGCTGCATGTGATAATGCCAAATGTGAAGACCTTCTTAAGGAGCAAGTGCATCAAGTTGCTGTCAATAGGAAACAGCAATGTTTTACATTGTCCAAAAAGGGACCGCGTATTTGCACTAAAGCCACTAAATTAAGATGTAGAATTATTGCTGTTAGGGTGCATGTTTAGGTTATTCCACAAAGTGTTCCTATTGGTAAACTTACTGCTTTAAGATATTGTGCAGAATTATCTGCCTTCCCTCATATGAAGGAAACAACATAAGCTTAGGGGATGCCGTGTTGATCATTTGGAGATAACTGTATATATAGCTCAAAGGAACAGAGTATCTTCAAGACAGGAAGGAATTTTTTCAATTTATTTGCTGGCTATATCACAAAAATAATGTATAGCTTAAATACGTAAATACCTGAAGCAGCTTGTTGCGGCTCCCGACCCGCTGGGTGCCGCAGCCGTACCTGACCGGCACGGTCTCACCGACACCACAAACTTAAGCGAGCCGGTTGCCGCTTCGCTGCCTTCTCTGGGCATGGCACCCAAATCAAAGATGGCGCGGACCACGTGGTCGCGTCCATCTTAAGCTCCGCCCCTCTAATACAAACGTGCGCATGATGTCAAGACGTCTACGCATGCGCACGTTCTGGGGTCAGAGGTCACCCTCTGACCAATCAGAAGCCAGAGAGGGATATTTAAATCCCTAATTCACTTTACTTCCTTGCCCTGTCGTGGTTTCCTGTTCCTGGTTCCCGAGAGTGCGTTTATCTTTGTGAAACTGATATTCTGGTATCCTGATTGGATTTGTCTTTTCCCTGGTTATTCCGAATTCTGGTTCCCCTGACTTGGCTTGTGTAAACGGTATTTGAGTATTTCTTCCTTGACCTCAGCTTTCCCTTTAACCATTCTTTATCTCTAGCGTATTAGTCCGGACATTCTAAGGTCTGGTGTACGCTCTGTCCTTTTATTTTCCTTTTCTTTTGTATGTATATATTTACATAGTTTCTGCGTGTTGGACCACACTAGCTGCCGGGACATTATGACAGGGCCATGGTTCCTGCGGAACTATGTAAACATATGATTGCCTGTGAGAATAGGGTGGAGGATATGGACTACAGGTTAGATCAGTTTGCCCAAGCATTCCAGACCTTGCTCCAGAGAACTGCCTATCTGGAGGCACCTCCTGTACCACCTGTGATTCCACCACCTGTGGTAGCACCGGTGGCACACAAACCACCGTCCATAACCCTTTCACCTCCCACTCGTTTTGGGGGTGATTCTAAAGAATTTAGAGGTTTTTTTAAACCAAATCGAATACCACTTCGAAGCTGCCCCTGGTTCATTCTCTACAGATAGATCGAAGATTGGCTATCTAATGAACCAATTAACGGGTAAGGCTTTAACCTGGGCTAATCCCTCATGGGAGAGTGGGAATCCAGTAGCCCGTGATTACAACGTATTTCTAGCAGCATCTAAAGCTACTTTTAAGCCAAAAGGGAGAGAAAAGAACGCTGCCAGAGCCCTAATGAGAATAAAACAAGGCAATCGCTCTGTACCTGACTACGCCATTGAGTTTAGAACTTTGGCGTCTGAGGTTGACTGGCCAATAGCGGTCTAGTGGCTGCCTTCTCCGAAGGCCTAGCGGAGAATATACAAGACGAGACCACAGCCAGAGATCTTCCGGTTACCCTTAATGACTTTATTGCCTACATGATAGATATTGACAACAGGCTCAGAGAAAGAGAGAAAAACAAACGTACTAGACGTTCTACCTTATCCATAGTCCCTCTCTAACCCAGTGGTAATTAACCATGCCCCACCTCCAGAACCAGAACCCATGCAACTGGGCATTACAAAACTCACTGAGGCAGAGAGACAATACAGACGCAACGAGGGGTTATGTTTATATTGTGGCAAAAGAGGACATCAAAGATTTTCATGTCCGGTTCGGCCGGAAAAATTGCGCACCTAAGGCACGTTCGGGGACCGACCTTAGGTGTGATGTATATGTTCCCTAAATTGACTAAGAACCGTTTCCTTATAAGAGTTACTTTATCTTGTAAGAAAACAGCTGTACAGTGTGAGGCTATGATTGACTCTGGGGCAGAGGAGAATTTTCTAGACAAGGAATGCTCTGCTAAATATCTCCTGCCCTTAAGGCAGAAAGAGAGATCCATAGCAGTGGAGGCCATCGATGGGAGACCCCTTACCCAGCCTCTCATCACGCACGAAACCCTGCCAATCACTGTCTCAGTGGGTATTCTACATTCTGAGGAAATGGTTTTTCAAATTATATCCTCACCCACATGTCCGATCATACTCGGTTTTCCTTGGCTCCAGAAACACAATCCACGTTTAGAATGGGTTGAAGGCGAAATCGTGAGTTGGGGTGAGAGATGCAGAGGTCTTTTTTAAAAGCAGCTGCCACAACCTACTGGTACTATCAATATACCTATAGCGCCTCCCCTAACCACAGAAATCCCACCCCAATATTTTGACCTACAGGAGGTATTCAACAAAGTTCAGTCAGAAATACTACCACCACATAGACCCTACGACTGTACCATAAACTTGTTACCAGGTACTATGCCTCCCAAAGGAGGAGTATATGCACTATCTCCTCAAGAAAATCTATCTTTAGAAGAGTATATAAAGGATGCTCTCAGAAAGGGTCACATACGTAGATCCTCTTCACCTGCTGGGGCTGGGTTCTTCTTCGTTTCTAAAAAAGAAGGAGTCCTACGTCCTTGTATAGACTATAGGGGTTTGAATAGGATAACAATAAAAACGCCTATCCCATTCCCCTTATTTCTGAGTTATTCGACAGGTTGAAAGGAGCCCGAGTCTTCACTAAGCTCGACCTCAGAAGTGCTTACAACCTAGTCAGAATTAAGGAAGGGCATGAGTGAAAGACCGCGTTTAATACAAGAATTGGACATTACGAATATCTAGTTATGCCGTTTGGACTATGCAATGCTCCAGCGGTATTTCAGGATTTCATTAACGATGTCCTTAGGGAGTACCTCCACATGTTCGTTTTAGTGTACCTGGATGACATTTTCATCTATTCTACAGACCTAGAGACGCATCACGAACATGTGAGAATAGTACTAAAAACCTTGTTAAAAAAATGGCCTCTACTGTAAACTGGAGAAGTGCCAATCTGACCAGACCGAGATACAGTTTCTTGGATATGTTATATCTTCATCTGGCTTCAAATGGACCCTCACAAGTTGGAAGCAGTCTTACAATGGCTGCCACCCAAAGGCCTTAAAGCTACACAACGCTTTATAGGTTTTGTGAATTATTACTGCAAGTTCATTAAAGATTTTTCCTCTTTAATCTCCCCTATTACCAATCTAACCAAAAAAGGAGCAAATTGCAGTTCATAGCCCAAGGAAGCAAAGGAGGCATTTGAACAATTAAAATCTTTATTTGCCGCAGCACCTGTCCTGACACATCCCGATCCAACCAAACCATTTATTCTAGAAGTAGATGCGCCATTCTGTCTCAAAGAGAAAGTCCTGATACGCCTTTACATCCCTGTGGGTTTTTCTCTCGGAAACTAACACCTGCAGAGAAAAATTATGACATTGGGAATAGGGAATTATTGACCATAATACTTGCACTTAAAGAATGGAGACATCTCTTAGCAGGTTCCAAAGAGCCACTTCTGATTTTTACCGATCACAAGAATTTGGCTTATATCGGGGACGCTAAGAGATTGTCCTCTCGCCAGGCTAGATGGTCATTGTTCCTCTCCCGATTTAACTTTGTAATTACATATAGGCCCGGGATCAAGAACACCAAGGCAGATGCATTGTCTAGACAGTTTGAGACAGATGAGATTCCTGAACAAGAGGTATCCCCTATCATACCTCAGAATGCCTTATTGCTACTACTATTTCTGAAGTGTCTTCTCCACTCTTCTGTGCTATAATCGCAGATCAAACTCAGGCACCCGTGGAGAGACCTCTGGATAAACTGTATGTTTCACCACCATTAAGAAAAAAGGTACTTGGTTTATTCCATGATAATCTGACAGCAGGTCATCCGGGAGTCCATAAAACTCTCTCTGCTATCTCCAGGAGGTTCAGGTGGCCTACACTTAGAAATGACATCAAGGATTATGTAGGGGCATGTCAAATATGTGCCGTTTCTAAATCCTCTCACAAACCACCTCCTGGCTTGTTACAACCATTACCTATACCTACCTGGTTCATTACCTATACCTACCAGGTTCATTTAGCCATGGATTTCATGGTGGGTCTGCCCAGCTCAAACGGGTTTAACACAATCCTTATGATCATAGATAGATTCTCAAGAATGGCACATTTTGTACCTCTTAAAAAATTACCATCTGCTCAAGATCTTGTACAAATATTTTTAAAAGAGATATTTCACTTACATGGGGTGCCTAAAAACATAGTTACTGACAGAGGTACCCAATTTATTTCTAGGCCTTTTGTAAACAATTGGGTATAGAACTTTCATTTTCCTCCGCATGTCACCCTCAGTCTAATGGCACAGCAGAGAGGGCCAATCAGTCCTTAGAATCTTATTTACGTTGTTTTAATCAATGCCAATCAGTCTAACTGGTATGAACTCTTACCCATGGCTGAGTTTGCCAGAAATAATAATACTCATGAATCCTCTAATCATAGTCCATTTTATGTAAATCAGGGTTATCACCCCACTGTTTTTCCCTTCTGCCTTGAACACTTGTTTAAATTATATTCATGACACTTGGGATTCCGTTCATACAGCATTACAAAAGGCATCAAAACGTGCTAAAATCCAAGCTGACAAGAGACGGGGTGCCAATCCTGTTTACCAACCAGATGACAAGGTGTGGCTGTCCACACGTCATATCAAACTTAAAGTTCCTTCCATGAAATTTGCCCCTCGGTACATCGGTCCTTTTCGGATCCTCCGCCGTATCAACCCTGTGACTTATTCCTTGGCACTCCCTGTCCACATGAGAATCGCCAATTCATTTCATGTATCATTGCTCAAGCCTCTTACTTGCAATCGATACACTAGTGTTTCCGCTCCTCCTCCGCCCTTGGTAGTGGGTGACCAGGAGGAGTACGAGGTTTGTTCTGTTTTAGACTCCAAAATCTCCAGGGGTATTTTGTCTTATCTTGTTGGCTGGAAAGGATATGGTCCAGAGGAACGTTGTTGGGTTCCTGCCGACCAGGTTCATGCACCCCATCTTGTCCGGTCGTTTCTCAACCGCTTTCCTCATAAGCCAGCTCCTTCCCGCCCGGTGAGCGGTCTTCGAGTGGGGGGTACTGTTGCAGCTCCTGACCCGCCGGGTGCCGCAGCCGTACCCGACTGGCACAGTCTCACCTACACCACGAGCTTACCTGCTGTGTTGGACCACACTAGCTGCCGTGACACTGCTTCAATCCCTTTGTGTTTGAATTGCAAAATATAGTTGGTTTGGTAATGATCCAATAAAAATTACTTTTGTTCTTAAGCAGCATAGTAAGAAAAGTGCCGTTGATGAATACAAATACAGCACTTGGCTGATTTCAGTCAAACCTCTTTAAAATGCTTTGTAGAGAAATAAAACTATAAATTTCAACATTTATTAAGGTCTTCTTGAATATTTGCTGTGTTTATGATATATTCTAACTTTAGGAATGTAAACATGAGTTTAATATGTCATATACCCTCCGGTGAATGGGCCTCGCCACAGCTACCACTCCACCCCTGGCTGAAATCACCAGTACTGAACATTTAGGAAGGCAGCCGTCATACACCAATCATCATTCTTATAGAGATGAATTGGCTCAGTGCATCTCTAAGGTGACCCGTCAACTTTTGCAGGACCACAACCAGGAAGCCCTCTAGTGGCTATCTGAGTGACAGCCACTAGAGGTAGTCATAGGAGGCAATGTAAACCTTGCCTTTTCTCAGGAAACGCAATGTTTACTACTGAAACTGTAGGGACAATACTTTTGTCCCAGAACCACTAGATTATGCTGTAATGGTTCTGGTGCTTATAAAAAACTTTTAAAAATAGCATTACTGTATTGTTTGCATATTCTGCACAAAGGTCAGAAATAATTATCTAATAATAATGATTATCCCCTTCCTGAAAAGGGATTTGTCAAGTTCAATTACATCTTGTTTGTCCTGGAATGCCTTCGATCACAAATGGGTTCAGTTTGTACAAAAAGATTACCATTATATTTTATTTATGAAAATGAATGTTTATATCTTATAAATTATGTACTTGAGGCAAATATTTTTAGCATCTTTAGAATGTATTGTGTACATTGTTACTGTAAATGTTTTTGTGCCTCATAAATAAACATAAACTGATACAAATATGATGTAAATAAAAATAAGAAATATTGTTTGGATAAATGTTGCCTGGGCTCAGTGATATTTAACAACCTGAATACTAATAGAGGATGGATTTATATAATGGCTAACAACTTATATTTGTAAATACTCACTAATGTGAAAATTATCTCAATTCACAGTTAAAGGACCACTATAGTGCCAGGAAAACATACTCGTTTTCCTGGCACTATAGTGCCCTGAGGGTGCCCCCACCCTCAGGGACCCCCTCCCGCCCGGCTCTGGGGAGAGGAAAGGGGTTAAAACTTACCTTTCTCCAGCACTGGGCGGGGAGCTCTCCTCCTGCTCTCCTCCTCCGTTGCTCCCATTCGGCTGAATGCGCACGCGCGGCAAGAGCTGCGCGCGCATTCAGCCGGTCGCATAGGAAAGCATTCTCAATGCTTTCCTATGGACGCTTGCGTGCTCTCACTGTGATTTTCACGCAAGCGCCTCTAGCGGCCGCTAGAGGCTTTGGAGGAAGGATTAACCCATTAACCCATTCTCTGAAACTGCTATGTTTATAAAATAATGGGTTAACCCTAGCTGGACTTGGCACCCAGACCACTTCATTAAGCTGAAGTGGTCTGGGTGCCTAGAGTGGTCCTTTAATTCAAATACAATTTAGAATCTTAGATACAAATAGCCAATCTGAAAACATGTTTTAAATACATTTCCAGTTTGACTATTTTGGACTGAAATGTTAAAATTACTTTGAAATCACATTGATTTCTCATGATTTTGTAAAGTCTGGGAGATGCTCTTTCGGTTCTGTCCGCAAGAGTTTGTAGAATGTAGAAAGGTGACTCTTTTGTACCGACTGGGTGGATGTCATTGTTTCGAATGCTGTGAGGTGTCTGGATCCCTGAAGGAGGTGAGGTTGTGAATGAATGAAGTGCGTTAGTTGTGGATATTTATATCTCAGCATCGCTGACCTTTTGGGATTGGGTACTATTTCTGAATATGGGATGATTCCTTTATCATTTATGACGTCTAGCAGACATAGTTGTCCTGGCTCATTTGTGAAGCCTTGGAATGCGGTCTGATGTAGTCCCGGTATGAATTGTGGGTTCCCTGTTATTGGGAATAGGGGAGAGGGTGTGGTGCTAATGTGTTTCCCTTCTTTAAGATGGACCAATATTTTAGGGTGGGGAGTATGGTGGGATGTGTCGTGTGAGGTGGGGTCAGTAGGTCCGTGCCGGATTCGTACCACGGCACTGTGTGGATGGGGATCTTGAAGCTTTGTGCTTCCATTTGCACCCATTGTTTCTGGTTGTGTGGGCATGTCCACTCGTATATTTGTGTGAGTATTGTGGCTCTGTGGTATATTTCTATGTCAGGTAATCTTAGGCCACCCTGTTCTTTATTTCTCGTGAGGAGTTTGTATTGGATCCTAGGATGTTTCCTGGTAATGTGTGGCCCTTTGTGATGGAGTTGAAAGCCTCCACAAAGGGTTTGGTTAGTGTCGAGGAGAAGGTTTTAAAATACTTAGCTGTGAATCCGTCTGGCCCTGGGCTCTTTCCTAGTGGTAGGTGTTTAGTAGCCATGGCAAATTCCTCTGATGAGATAGGCATGTCAAAGATATGTCTGACATTGGGGGGTATTGTCTGGGTAAGCCGTTCGGATAGGACATTTTGGATGTCTTCCCGGTCAGGTGGGTGTTGTCTGAGGTTGTATAATTGTGAGTAGAAGGTATGGAATTCCTTAAGAATGTCGGGTAGGAGTGTAGTGACTTCCCCTGATGATGTCTTAATTTGGGATATGAATGTTTGCTGTTTGCCTTGTTGTAAGGCTCTAGCCAATAGGCATCCACATTTTCCTCCCTGAGTATAGTATGTATGTTTCAAACGTGTGAGCATATGGTGTATTTTGGCGTTGAGTATAGTTTGTAGGGTGGAGCGTTTGTCTACCAGCAGCTTGTATGTGTCTAGAGATGCGTTGTGTTTATGTATGCTTTCTAGGTGTCTTATGTCTGCGGTGAGAGTGGCTACCTGTTCCTCCCTCATTTTCTTTTGTTTGGATGCTAGTGCTATGATGTGTCCTCTCACTACTGCTTTGTGCGCTTCCTAGACTACTGTGGGAGAGATAGATGGTGAGCAGTTTTCTTCAAAGTACCGGCTTAATGTGTCTTGTAGCAGTACTCTGTGTCGTCCAAAATTTCAGAATACTTAGACCACCTTTTACAACCAGTAGTTATTCAAAACCCTGCGTATCTTAAAGACACAATACACATTTTACAAATTTTAGAAAATACCATTTGGAATGAAGGCAATTCCCTTGTCACATGTGACGTTACCTCACCCTATCGTTTCATTGCCCATGAAAAAGGGTTAGAGGCAGTACGATATTTTTTAAATAAACATAATTTTAAGGAAGAACAGATAGCATATATTTTAGAAGGCATTCTTTTAGTATTAACAAACAACTACTTCTGGTTTAATGAAGAGTTCTATTTACAAATCAGGGGCACAGCGATGGGTACCAAGTTCGCCCCTAGTTACGCTAACCTGTTTATGGCCTATTGGGAAGAACAATTTATATATAAAGGCCATCCATGGGGGGCGAACTTGGTAAACTACCATCGCTATATCGATGACATTTTCTTCATCTGGACAGGGTCACATGCAGAACTCACTTTATTTATCCAATATCTAAATGATAATCAATGGAATATTGTTTTAACAGCCCAAATTAGCACAGCACAAATTAATTTTTTAGACTTGGACATTTTTATAATTCAAAACAAGATCTCCACGAGAAACCACTTTAAAGATGTCGATGCAAATAGTTATATCAGAAGAGAAAGCTGCCATCATACCCCTTGGTTGAGTAATGCTCCCAAGGGTCAATTCATGAGAATCAAAAGAAATTGTACTAATGACCAGGACTTTTTAGAGCAAGCGAATAAAATAAAAACCCAATTCATAGAGAAAGGGTATGATGAAACTTCTCTCCAAACAGCCCTGAATGAGGTACAACAAATACAAAGAACAAATTTATTAATATATAAAAACAAGAAGAATAAGGGATGGAGTACAGATATCCCATTCATATGTAACTATCATGGCAATAATAGAAAAGTAAACAAGATTATGCGGAAACATTGGCATATCTTGAGAGACGACCCAATCCTGATAAAAAGTGTTACCAGAAAAACCAAAAATAATCTTTCGAGGAGCAAAAAATTTAAGGAACACATTAGTTAAAAGCAGCAATAAAGATATAATAAAAGAGAAAAACCTTTTTTCAATGGAAAAGGGCTTTTATGGTTGTGGATATTGTGGAGCATGTAAAAACACGAAAAGCAGAAAGAGACATCTAATAGATTTAGAACCCCACATAAATAAAAGATTTACTATAAGAGATCACTTAACCTGTCTTTCTAAGGGGGTTATCTACGTTTTAAAATGCCCGTGTAATTTAGTTTATGTAGGCCGCACCATCCGAAGCCTAAACATTAGAATAGCGGAACATGTTAGAAACATAAAAAATGGTATAGAAACCCATAGTGTTTCAAACCATTTAAAAAAAGCACACGGACAGAACCCAGAAGGAATGTTTTTCTGCGCAATAAAACAAGTGAAAAAAGATTGGAGAGGAGGAGACTACATAAATAAGATTGGAAGAGAAGAAATGAAATTTATTTTTGATTTTAACACAATGATACCTGAAGGTCTAAATAATGATTTTGAGCTATACCATTTTATGAAATGAGACATTTTTTTGAACCAAAGTCTTAACCTATGCCCAAGAGAATTTTAAATATATGTTTTAGTAGATGTCTTCTTATTTACATATAAAAGATTTTAATATATTTGGAAGGGTCTTGTATTTTAAATATTATATATATTTTTTTTTCAGACTGTTTATGTTTCAGGATTTTATTTATATTTTTTATATTTATTAGAAATTGGCTTATGTTTTAGAAATATGTCTCATTTCTAAGCTAATTCTAACCAATCTGTTTATTCAATAACATTCATTTTGTACAATATAATTCATGCACTTTAATGTATCCCTTCGGAAGATTTTTTGGAACGCGTTCCATAGAGATAATAAGCCGATTGGCTACACTACAGATTTGGAGAGCGTATGCTTTCCGATATAGGAAATTGAAGACGAGATCGTGGTTGAAGCGCACGTGTGTTCCACTTCGGCGGAACGCGGAAGTAGGCGCCGGTATGTGGGACGCACATGCGCTCGATCATGATGGAACCCGGAAGTAATTTTTTACATTTGGAACGCACGTTGCGTTCCAATATACGAAAACACCGGAAGTAAATGCCCTATTGGAGAAGAAGTCAGGCGGGAAGCTTAAAAGAAGAAAACAAACCGAAGTGAACCTTATCCAACTGAGGAAGCCTAAGCAATAGGCGAAACGCGTTTTGGACATTAACTAAGGACATTCTTTTAGAGACTTTTATTTGATTAGCTCTCTGTTCACTGTATTTATGACCAGTTGTTTCTGGTATAAGGAATTTTATATTTTTTTTGAATAAAACCATTTTTAAAGGAGCATCGAGATATCTTACAGCCTTATTTTGGAATATCAAATAAGAACATTAAGAGGAAAACCAAGAGCTCGACTGCACAAGGGTCTGGACAACCCCTGAATGGTCCAAAGGAGCATATAAAAAGAGTCATATGATGGTATGACTCCAACTTTGTGAGTGAAATTACCATTTATTTTATTCATTATATATTATTGAATAGACATACTACGCTATTCTGCATATACTATTGTATTTTTCAGATTATCCAAGATTCAAGCGGTTCCACCTATTGTTTTGTATGTATCACTCGTGTGATGGACGCTCTTGTTAAGGCTCAAGTGAAAGATCATGGGGTATATCAGTTAGCGTGAGAGTTTATAGAGCTTCACCGCTCTAATAACTTGCCTGACCTCCGGACGGGTTCTGAGTGTGGCTCGCCCAT